GTATATACTTCCTCTTAGGTCACTTTCTGCACCTTTTGTCTGCTTTTGTTTCAGACTTTGGGAAAATGTCCAATAATTTGGAAACCAACCTGGAAGTATTGAGTAATCGTGACTCCACAGACTATCCACAAAAGGAAGACTTCACTGACGATGCCTATGGATGGCTGGACTGTGTATCCAAGAAATCTGGACTGCCTCGTTGGCTGCTCGGTGTGACATTACTCTTGTCTGCACTGGCTATGATATGGCTATGCTGTGCTACCACAGCAACTGCTCCTGATCAACGGGTTTCCCCACAGGTGGGTTTCCTTGTACCCAGGGCCTGGTTAGAAGCTATGATAATGGGTGGGGGGTTGGAGAAGAGAACCAGTTTTTTAAGCCAAACTCCTTATGCTTTTTAACCTCGTATCCTCTTGAATCTTGCTATTTTAGTCTTCACTGTGCAGGAAACCAATTTCCTGGAATTGACTTGCAAGAGGTATCAAGTCTTATCTTAATTGCTGGATGATGTCTTAACACACAGGGATTCCTTGTATTGAAACACACAGGACATTTAAACTCATTCCAGCAAATTCAGTGTGTAATGCTGTTTAGCATCTATACATATCCCACACTCGAGGGACTCCACCCACACTTAGCTAATTAGTGCAAAAGAGTCTATGGAGGTTGTACATGTGCTGTTTTCAAGTGACCTCGGGTCACAGCTAGGAGTTACAGCAAACATCTACATTGCCATAGTTTGGGAGTTATTGGATGAAACGTTTATGTCGTACAAATTGTGAACACCAAGGGTCAGTATTTGTAAATTCATACATGTGCATGTACTTTGCTAAGGACTGTGGTTGTTGTGTCTTTTCAAAAAGTTGGTACATGTAGTTTCAGCCGAAAATAATGTTGCTTCCGAGGCAAGTACAATAAAGAAAAGATAGGCCTGCTGGTGGCAAGTACATGTACTGTTAGTTAAGCAATGATGGTTTTGATCTAGACCTAGATCGGAGACGTTTGCTTTATATGCGAGGCTGGGGTCTCCGAACTCGGACAAAGGAAACAGGGCCCTGTAACAAAAGACCGTACTCCGCACAAAAGACCAGGCTGCTGGGCATTAGCAACATTTTTCACTCTGAAAAGTGGTGATAATCCAGCCTTGTTTTGAAACCGTATACCAGGGTTTTGGGCATTTTTAGTGAGTGGATTCCCACCGGGGACAAAAGCGCTCCACCACTGCAGCGATTAGCCACACACAACCACTGCACGCTAATCTGGCCCCTATTAAAAAGAGGTCAGTAGTGCACTGAGCCAGGTTTGTGAACAGAAGAAAGTTAAATAACACCACACAATCTGGGCTCTTTTTACAAGGCTGCAGGCCTGGCTGAAATACTCGGGCGTCAATGAAGATCACCTGTCAACTTAGAGTAGTGCCTAAAGATTACTTTGTGCGGCTGTAAACGTCCGTTAAATGAAATGATGAATTTTTGAAGAGTTTTGAAAACGGAAAAAATGATAATTATGCCGGCCCAGCATCATCAACATTGAAAAATGCCCCGACATGAAGTGGTAATGCAAGTATAGGCATTTGGAATACTTTGTTAAATTCAACTGGCAATAATGTACTGTACACACTGTGCAAATCACAAGCATATTATGCTTGTGTAAATAGCATTCATAGCATTACAACACTAGAAATATTAAGATTTGTGCTCAAGCAGTCATGAAACAGCCACCACTTGGCTTGAAACTGGTAAAACTAATAGTAACATGACATTATGCTATTACATTGACTTCTTGTAATTTTAACCCTAACCCTCCTCAATCCTTCACCTGTTGGAGGATTGAGGAGGGTTAGGGTTAATGACAAGTGTGTAAATTAAAAAAGTACCACTAAGACTGCCAAAAATCCATATGCTGATATTGATCTTCTTCTTTAATGGAAAAGGTTGGTATTAAAACTTACTAACTCAATTTTTCCTGTTCTTGAAATTTCAGAAAGTGGCAATCTACAATGACCTTGCCTACTTGCAGGACTCCAAGAAAAAGTTCATTCACCCCATCTTCATTAAAAGCCTCCCAGCCAAGGCAGTTAATGCCACAGCAACTGATGATGATGATGAGTTGCTTATACTGGAGGATGTCAAACCTCAACAGACAAAGATTTAAGAATCTGGAGGATTCCTTTCTGTTGTCATGTACATGAAGGTCACTCAGTCTAATAGCACACAAAATGAGTATCAAATGCATGTATGCATGTACATGTACATGCAGGTCAAAGAGTAACACATAATGGAGATTTACACTTCAAAGTCAGTTAAAGCATATGCTTCTGGGGAAAGACAGCAGATATGAACCTCATAGTTCAAGTCAAGTGGCGAAGCTTTACAATCTCAGTGCATGATATGCATGTGTTCTTGAGAATTGAGGTGGTAGGTGTCGTGTGTGTACTTTCCCATGACACAACAAACTTCAGCTACAAATATCGTTGATATCATGGTTTTAGCCTGAATCTTCACATTCTGACCACTTGCAATTATTTCTTACTAGTAGTGTTGTCGTCAAGCCCATCACAATCTTTGACCAAAAACAAAACCATTTACGTAATCAAATACAATTACATGTACATGTACATTAAACGGGGTGAGCAGTAACAAAGGAAAGCTTTTGTTGAAGTTCATTTGATGATAGTGCGAAGGGGCCTTGACTATAACACTGCTCATTAGTTCACACTTCATTACCACTTTCTCCCAACAATGCACTTTCAGTCAAATCTGATTTACTCTAACAGGGAAATTACCAAGGTTGTAAAGAGCATTTAAATAACAAAAAGGGAAATTTTAGATCAAAAGTAGTTTATTCCCCCAAACTTTTAAACTCACGTTGTTAAATAACTAATTCTTCCAAGTTCAAACCCCAACTCCCCATTTTAGTGGCTAATGCATCATCCATACTTTGGAGGTGTAATTGTTTAAGTGTAAGCTAAAATGTACATGCACATTGCATTTGAATGGCTTCAACAATTGGAGTTAGAGATGCTCATAGGATGAGCTGCATTCTTTATCTAGTACTTGCAACAGGATTCTCAGTGAAAAATCCCACAAAATTGTTTTCCATGTGGGATTGGTCCCAGTGCACAGTGTTTTATGTGGTTAGCTGCATTGTATTTTGGGAGTTTATGGCACTTCACTAGTAACACGTATCGATCTTCAATTATACAGTATTTCGTGCACCCCCCTCTCAATGAGTTAAGTTTGTGTTTGCCTGCAGCTAGCAAGTGCCGCTTTTCTAGTTTGGCTTTAGAAATGATTGCAAAATAATCGCAAAAGCAGTTTTCATTGTTTGTGAAAGGTGGGCTGAATAAGGGCAGGTTAAACATACTGTTGACATGAGGTGGACCCCTCTGAAACCAGGATTTGTGGACCCCTCTGAAACCAGGATTTCATTATCTTAGCAGCTGGGAAGGTAAGATATGCTCAACAACCATCAGCACTACAGGTGGGCAGTCTACCCTTGCAATTATCTGCTGGATCTGCTACTATAAACTGGCCCAGACATACAGAAGACTACCCCTTGAACTATGGGGCTTATCACCGTACTACATATAAGAACTGCACAAACTTTGAATTAATGCACCATTTCACAGTGATTAGAATGTGGTTTCATAACTTGACAAAATTAAATACTCACATTGGTCATTAACTTTATGAAAGTCAATGTGTATTGAAAAAACCATAAGCATATACCCCACAGGCAATAATTATTCACTTTGGCATTTGACTGGCAACAAATTCCTCCGGGGATATTACAGTGGCTGATGCTTTGAGTGAGAGATGCATGAAATCCTGGTACAACATTGCCAGATACCTGAGTTCAGGTGCTGCACTGCGTTGAACTCGGGTGTTCCGGTAATTGAGAATTCACGGTATTATTGAAGTCATCCAACTTCTAGGACGAGTTAAGATACTTGGTGGTGGCAGACAAATTGGTCCTTTATGCCGATTCTCAGCTTACATGTGTAATTCTGGGCATGCAAGCATAGTTCTCGGTACATGGACAACCTTGGTAAAGGACCAGTTTGTCTGCCGCCATTAAGCATCTTAAAGTCCCCCTTGCTATCATAACTGGTGTTTGTAACCACTTGCTTGTATATGTATGGTGTAATGGCTCGAGTAAAATTGTGTCATTTTTTGTATGCAGTGCTAAACATGAGCAGACATGACTTCTTGGTGTTTTGAGTACTGTAAGGATACAGGAAAATGCATTGTTTGAGTGAACAAGCTTGAATTTGCATTGTGGCTCAATTGGAACTCATGGCCTTTATGGCTACAGTGTGATACATGTATGTGTATCTGTCATCATTAGTTTGGTATCACATTTTCATTAAATGGACCCTATCGGTGCTACATCATCATATTAAGCTAACTGAATTATGAACTATTAGCTTTTCCCATAATTTCAAGTTTGGATTATATAGCAACATTGTTCTGGTGAATTTCTTTGATGGGATTTCTCAAGGCGTGTGTAAATATTTTGTACAGTGGTCTTAATGTGTGGTTCCCCCCCCGAGTATGTTAAACATGTGCATGTCATTGTAATGCTTATATGGAGGATATTAATGCACATCGATCAAGTGAAGTTCTTGATTTTGGTAAACATTTAAATGTCGTGCTTAGAATTTACACCATGGGTTTAATGTTTACAATTT